TGTTAAACGCTTCGTATGTAAATTTTATTGTGTATTTAAATTGTAAAAAATATCCAGATCCGTTTAAATATATTTTTATTGAGAACGTTGCAGGTAAAAAAATCACTTAAAATACACGTAAATACAAATTCAAATATTTTTAACCGACTTCAAAAACAGGAGGAAGTTCTGGATTCATTGTATTTTTGTATGTTTGTTAGAATTCCGTCATTTAATAAGCGATTTGTACTTTTTTTCCTAAAAAAATACAAACCGATTGAACTTTGATCCCATAGAAATTTTATTAAAATCAGTAGTTTGGTTTTAAAACAACTAACAGTTAGGCCATGATTGCAGTCGGTGATTTTTTTCTATGAATGATTCTAATACAATCGATGAATGTTGAGCGACTTACGAATACGTGTCGCTGCACATGTTGGTGGACTTTTTGTGCTGACTGTACTTTCTGTAGTGACCCGCCCTGTGGTAATGTTTGTACATGCGACTTACGTAGGCATGTGAAAAATCAGGTTTTTAGATTCATTACTTTTTAGCCGACATCAGAATAAATTAAAAATTTTGTGTGTTCAGGTTTGTTGTAAATAGACACGTACGGTTTTATTATAAAAAAATAATTAAAATATTAATTACATAAATAGTGTGTAACAAAACTCTGTCTAAGTAATTCAATATTGTTTAGTCAGTACGATATTTAATAATACTGTATTTATAATTTTTATGTGTCCAATTAGATGGAGTGACGACCTGAAATGCATTGCAGGTTGTCAGTGGATGCAGGTGGCTCAGGATCGTTATTTATGGCAGTCTATGGGGGAGGCTTATGTCCAGCAGTGGACGGATAATGGCTGAAATGGTGACGACGTTGACGTATCAAATTACATAGATTTTTTTTAAATTAGATATAACTAATGTTGGACATGCTTTTGTAGTAAGAAATATTGAATATCTGTTTATTGTAAGTTTAACCTTTTTTCCTGTTGGAAGACAAAACAATATAACTTATATTAATGGGTTAGTATTGTTTTTGTTTAAGAACCATGTACTCGTATTGTATAAAGTAATATTGTACGCCTCAGAAAGGTGTATTGTCGATGAACTAATTTGTAAGACCTTGTATACACCCATAATGTAAACAATAAATATAATAATAATAATAATTAATTATAATAGTGAAAAACTGTTTCCTTTTTTTTTTACAACACAGGGGGCAAACGAGCATGCGTCTCTGCTGATGGTAAGTGACTACCGCCGCCCATGGTCACCCACAACACCTACGGCATTGCAGGTGTGCTGCCGGCCTTTTAAAAAGGAATATGCTCTTTTCTTGAAGGTTATGCTTACAAAATATTGTATGGTACTGTTTATGTGTATGTGTGTTACGGTTACCACTTTCCATTAGATGACGGTCCAGCTTGTTTGCCATTCTAAGATGTATTAAAAAAAAATAACTCGGTGTTTTTTTTTTTATACAACTTAGAATGGCAAACAAGCTGAGGGCCCACCTGATGGAAAGTGGGAAAGTGGTAACCGTCGCCTATAGACATGAGCAGTACCATGGACATAACAGAGTATACTGTTTCGCCCATGATACCACCCATGCGTTGCCATTCCTGAGGACTCAGGTGTTATTCCTCTGTACCCTGTAATTTCACGTCTTACCCCACCCTTCAAACCGAAACACAGCCATGCAAACACAACTGCTTCACAGTAGAAACACGGATGGGAGGTACCCAAGCAATCGACTTTTGTACAAACAATGACAGTATGGGATTTAAACGGGAATAGACTTTTAATTGGAAGTAAAATTATAAAACATCCTCTAGAACGTGCGACGTAATTATTTAACATAACAATAAAAAATATATACGAATTGAAATAAGAACCTACTACTTTTTTGAGGTTTATTAAAAGGGAACAGAGGGGCGGGTTTAGCGTTGTGAGTGCGGTGCAACAGGAGGGACTGCATTGCAGATCCGGGACATATTGCAGATTCGTAATATAGTGTGTTATATATATATATATATATATATATATATATATATATATATATATATATATATATATATATATATATAAAGTAGAAGGGTTTGTTTGTTTGTTAGAAAAAATCCTTTTTGATTTTATGAGCAAAGCTGTTGAATATAACTAGTGTTAGCTAGCTAAAATCCCTGATTAAGACAGGCCTACGTCACAGTATGATATAGAGTGAACTATTAACAATCACTGCTCAAATGTATACTGCAATAAAATCTAAACTGTTACTGTAGGAAGAAACTGTTAAACTACTAAGGAAGAAGAAACAAAGGGTTGTTAGCATATGCGGTTGAGAGACTGACGGACGTCCGGCACTCCCGGCCTCACGCGCTAGCGGTGGTGAGGCGAGGCGGCGCTCCTATTAAGCATGGGGAGCGCCACACCTGTTGCATTATGATGTCCTGGTAATTACATTAGTGTGCTGGTTCGATATATTAACTTACTTGCTAACTAACTATGGAAGACTTCCATTTATAAGTTTTGTATCAGCATAAGATACAAACTACTTTACTAATACGCGATGGATCTCTGTCCCATTCGTGTTTCTACCGTGAAGCAGTTGTGTTTGCATAGCTGTGTTTAGGTTTGAAGGGTGGGATATGGCGTAAATTTACTGGGTACAGAGAAATAACACCTGAGTCTTCAGGAATGGCAACGCATGGGGGGTATCATGGGCGAAACAGTACCGAAACGGTTACCACTTTCCATTAGGTGGGCCGTCAGCTTGTTTGCCATTCTAAGTTGTATAAATAAATAAAATGGATTCTTGTTAATTATTCTAAATAATGTAGTTGAAAAAACAGTATGGCTGTTAGTAATCAATTACAGCCTGCATTACTCCTGGTATCATATTTTTTAATGTATGGAATGGAATGACAGCTTTGACTATACTATTTGTGTAGCTTGGTAAAGTACCTCTGAGGAATTATAGGCGGGAATGAAATCAGGTCTCTTGTGATGAATTCATTCCTGGTGAATTAACCACAATGATTTCCAAAGGGAAATAATTGCATGGAGATCGACTTGACAGACTTTTTAGGTATTAAGAAACATTATTCTTTTTATTTTGAAGCGTACTAAGCTGAACCTACGATGGCACCTGTGATTTATTACTTTATAGCTGGTGGGTTACTTTTGAAATAAATTCCAATAAATGGATATGAAATCGATATGTTTTGTACTCTCGAATTGCAACACTAGCGACATAATGGTTTCATATTGTTCTGGTAGACGTATATTAGTGTAACTTGCCAATGCAAACTATTGTAAACCGATCCCAATTATAGCTTAATTCCTAACAGTTGTTTCATGAGAGCAGTATAACAATGAATTGGCAATATATTGGATTGGGGGAAAGGGATTGTTAGTAATAGAGACTGAGAATCCCATTGCTAGCAATATACCCAATCAGGTCGACCTCCTCGCGGTTCTCCCTGGAAACTATCATGGTTAATTCCTGATGAATTCATCATGATGGGCTAACTGGCCTGTTTTCATTCTCATCTATCACCCTTCACCGGTGCCCCGCCAGCGTATCCCGTTAGCACAGGCGGGGTTACCATGCCATTTTCACCCATAAAAAAAAAATATTGGATTGATATTGATATTAGATACAAGAGTAGCTCCACGGGTCGTATCAATAAAAAGAATTCAGCAATCTTACAAGATCGTGTGATGTTCGTGCAACCAAAACATGAATTGTTTTGTCGGTGTTTACCGGCCAGTGCGCCGGCGCCGTGCGGTGCGCTCTCACGACGACGCGCGGCGCGCGCGCATTATCGCTACAATCGGATCGATACCACACAATCACAGTTTAGATGTTACGGATTTGTTCGAGTTTATCTGATATCATCTATAGCCACATGGTTCTTCCTAAACATTGCAAATATTTACGTTTACTTAGATTGTTTACATTTAGGTGTTGATAGCAGTAAAGGGGTTTTTAAAGTACATGGAAATTGTTTAATTTTGGACCCCAGACATGTGAGTTTTATAGGTATATCAGCAAAAATCTGAATGAATTCTGAAAAATTTATTCAATTTTGTATTAGTTATCCAGGTTGACTGAAAATGACTTTTTTATGCAATTTGGAATGACAAACAAGCTGACAACGACTCATCTGAAAGAAAGTGGGAACCGTCGCCTATAAAAATGAATAACACCATGGATACAAGTACAGTATTATATTGTCTGTGTCATGGATATATGGAATGCATCGTGACGCCCATGATATTCCTCACGCGTTGCCTTTCCTGAGAACTGAGGTATAATCTTTATCTTTTATATGCGATTTACTTAAAATTATAGGAAAATACCGAATAGTTTTACATGTATTTCTGTCGAGAATGCTCGACCAGTTTCGTGACCAAAACCCAAAAAGGTAAGTTGGTTGTCCATTTACGCTGAAGATTTACTCGTAAATTGGTAGCCGTGAATTACTTTTTTTGTATTTGATTATATCAAAGAAAACTAAGTTTTATATCATTACTGTTTGTGTGAAGGTGGAACCATTTGATATCAAAAATTATACTAGGTCGCCTTCGTTATAAACGAAGACTTTTGACGTGACATACCGAACGACGTATTTTCTTCGAAGAATACGAAACAGGTTTTTTTTTTAATATTCAGATTTCTTCTTTTTAATATCTCTTCCATGTAGCAAACATGGACATCAAACATCGCTTCTAGCGATAAAGTCGCCCATGGTTTTCTCATTGTGATTATTTCTTGTAATTGTTTATATTTATAATAAGTTTACTATTATAATCTTTTGAAGGAAACAATATAGAGTATCTATCTATCTATCTGGTGGGCCACCTGATGAAAAACGGTGGTAATAAAAGCCAATATGTTAGAGAAAAATATCGACGTATTTCGTTCCACATGTTGCCGCTATGTTGCACCGCGTTGCATTGCGGATAGGAGGCGCGGCGGCCGCCACTCCAGCTGAGTGGCAGCAATGCTGCAGCCAGGCAGTAGGCAGTCATATCGCACGCCGCCCTCTCGCCGTGCGCACGCCACGCGCCGTCTGATCGCGCGATCGCCACCGTCGGCCATACCACAGCGTAATATAATACGCGCTACAGTTTACAGTTTTCGTTAATTAATGAGTGAGAGTTTAGTGACGATTCTAGTGGAACAGTTGTTTTATATCTGGAACTGGTGTTTGTCATATTTAGGTGAGTTCTAATTTAGTTTTTATATATAAACAATTCTCAATTTGAAGGTATATTTTATGCGTTTAACGATATCTTCGAGAATAATTAACTGATGTTGATGACTTTTTTTTTTAAATTGACTTGTATATGTAATTTTGAACTTGTCTGTACATACATATTTTTGTATGCCGTACAGGCTAAACGTGTTAAGCAAAATTGTATTGTTAAGATCTGCTTTTATTCATACAAATGTTTCACAAATAAAAATGTTGAATTTTAAAAAAGGGCAGGGCTATTATGTTATAACAATAATCATCATCGTCATCATCTCAGCCATTATCCGTCCACTGCTGGACATAGGCCTCCCCTATAGATTGCCATAAGGAACAGTCCTAAACCACTTGCATCCATTGACTCCCTGCAATGCATTTGAGGTCGTCACTCCATCAACCCTCCTAACAATAATGTAACATTTAAATTGCTGAGATTCTTTTGTGTAATCTTAAACTATAATTGTTTTATAAGATAGTAGACGGTAGTTTATATCTTTTCAATACTTTTAAAGTGTTGCATGTTTAATTTGATATATTTTTTTATAATATTTTTAATAAATCTCACGACTATAATCCCTGTTCATCTGCCATCTGGTTAGAAGCATAATCTTAAAAAATATATGCTATTTCTTAAGATTAATGCTTAAATTTTTTATGCAACTTAGAATGGCAAACAAGCTGACGGCCCACCTGATGGAAAGTGGTAACCATCGCCTGTAGGGATGAACAGTACCATAGATAATATTTATATATATATATATATATATATATACAGTTATTAGTTGTTATTGGCTGTTACCATTGCATACGTAACACTCGAATTGACAATATTTTTCGGGCATAATTTTAAATCCACTGTGAAGGTAGGCTCCCTACCTGCCTCAGTAGAATTAGTTTGTTAACAATGTTATCCATCAGTATTGGACATTAAAATGGACACGGTCACAAAGTTTTGATGTCAGCTAGATTTATGACCTTTGCCATTCCAGGGTACACAAAGGTTCAAGATTTAAGATTTTATTTATTTGTAAAACATGCGTATAAATATATACAGATATTGACAATATAATATCGTTTGACATGTTTAGCCTGTACGCCATACAAACATATGTAGTTACACAGAAAGTTCACATTTTATATCATTAATCGTCAAAAAACATAATATTGTCTTATTTTTAAATAATTTAAAAGTACTAACATACAGTTTGATAGAAACAGTAAGATTTATTAATATAGTATATTTTTAATTGCTTACTTATTATAATGCAGGCTTGTCTGCCACCTTCATGGTATATATATAAAAAAAAAAAAAGAATTAATTTGTATCGTTGTAAACAAGAGGATGTGATACGCAATATCTTGCGTATAATATATATTGTATTAACTTATTTGTTAATTTACGTGTGTCATAAATAAAGTGTTTGTCTATCTATCTATTATTTAATTAGTGTTTCATTATGAACTGATTCATGGTCATCGCCATAGCAATCCACTAATCTCCCACCGCTGCACAGAGGTTTCTCCCCATAAAATGTATAACTTAATTAAATTCCATTATCTTTTTGAAACTCACGAACGTAACCTTCGTTCCAATAATACTCTCCAATCATCTTTCCCCTCTCACCGTACTGGTTACGCTTCAAACTCTTTTCTCCTACATTCTTCACGACTCTGGGACGCGCTTCCTGATGCCATTAAGAGACTACCGACTAAACCGTCTTTCAAAAAAAGCGTTCACGCTCACTTTTTATCATTATCCGAGCAGTAAGTGCTTTATATTATTCTTAATTTCGTGTATAATATAGTATATATCATATATGTGTAGTATATTTGTAATTTATAAATATTTATTCTTTATATATGTAATTTTAGTATGTATGTATATCAATAATTACTAGTACCGTATTCGAGTATTCTGACACTTCCCTATGGTTGACTGGGAGAGAATGCTTTTAGCATTAAGTCCGCCATGTACACATATTTGTATTAATGAATAAATAAATAAATTAGATTATTACCAAAAAGAGACTTTGTACAAAAGTCGTTTGCTTGGGTGCCCCTGTTCCATTTGTGTTTCTATCGTGAAGTAGTTGTGTTTGCATGGCTGTGTTTCGGCTTGAAGGATGGGATATGGCAGTGAATTTACAGGATACAAAGGAATAATATCTGAGTCCTCAGGCATGGCTACGCATAGGGGTTATCATGGGCGACACAGTGTACTGTTCATGGTATATTGTTCATGTTTATAGGCGACGGTTACCACTTTCCATCAGGTGGGTCGTCAGCTTGTATGCCATTCTAAGTTGTATAAAAAAGAAACCTAGATTGAGTCTTAAATGAAAAACTGAGTATCCATAACTTCTCCATTTTCAAGAGTTAAAAAAAATAAGCCTAGATTGTATACATCTCAGGTCATCAGGTCGGGGGAACGCAGCATCGATAACCAATTGCAACACGTTATCCGTGACTTGTAGAATAAATACATAACGAACGATTGTCCCGAGATAAGACGCATCAATATCGAATAGACGCGATGCTTGTTGCACAAGTACTTACATAGTTGGGACTCGCTGATAACATTATCTGAACATTATAAAAAGTATGAGGAAGGAGTCAAGAGTCTCTGGAGCCGGCGTGTATGAAACAAATTATAAAAGTGCATGAAACAAAAAATATACGTAAAGATTTGATATTTTACCTCGCAAGAGTTTTGGTGTGAAGGTAGATTAATATATAAAAACTATTTATTCATCACTAGCGCAAATCCTGCTGTTCTACTAAATTGTCTATACAATAGATATATTTATTTATTCACTATTTATTTATATTTTATTGTACATGCTGATAGTACAAAAAAATATGACAGAGGAAAGTACTTTTGGTAGGAACTTCTGATAGTAATAATTAATCAAGTCAATCTTCGAGTGTTGTCAGTAACACACAAATGTACTAATGGTAGCAGAATTAGATAAAACATCTCTAATCAGATAATCAGTAAAAATGAAACTGGAACTCCGCCTGTGCTATTGTTTTACACTGATGAGGTAGCAGATGGACGATAGGTGAGGATGTACACAGGTCAGGCGGCTCACCGTGACAAATTCACTAATATTGGGGGGTAAGGGATTGTTAGTAATGGAGACTGAAAATCCCATTGCTAGCAATATACCCAACCAGGCCGACCTCCTCGCGGTTCCCCCTGGAAACTATCATGGTTAATTCCTGATGAATACATCATGATGGGCTAACTGACCTGTTTTCATTCTCATCTATCACCCTTCACTGATGCTCCGCCAGCGTATCCCGTTAGCGCAGGCGGGATTACCATTCCATTTTCATCCACCAAAAAAAAAATCACTACTATTAACCCATCGTGGTGAATCGCTTATAATTAAAAATGCTTATTTAAATAAAAATTGTTAAAGATGTGACCATCGCATTCGTCCTTAAATCGTAATCCGGTCTAGTTACGAGGCACAATGCAATTACAACGATATTAAATTTATTAATTGGCATCGCAGATAATTAAAAAATACAATGTTGGTACTAATAAATTGCGAGTATGTCCAAACAAAAAAAAAATAGCGTCTTCGGTCTACTAGTTTATTATTAAAGAGTCGTTGTTCAAGTAGTGGGTATTTATAATTAACTATTAATTAGATAATACGTGTTTTTTTTTTTTAATGAATGATAATGGAATAGTTACTCCGCCTCCGCTATCGGTATACAGCTCATCATGATGAATTCATCAGAAATTAACCATGATAGTTTCCAAGGGGAACTGGGAGAAGGCCTCCATTACTAACAATCCCTTTCCTCCCCGTTATGGGGTAGGTAGTAATGTAATTTATAATAAGCAGAAATAAGAGTAGACCCACTAGCTGATGAATCACTTTTATGAAGTGTAACCGTAGATCAGTGTTTTTCAATCTTTTTCATGACGCGACCCTCTTGTTATGTAAAAATATCTTGCGACCCCCTACCCTCCACGGTTTCGAATGTGTATGAATTTTATTATAGTACAATTATGAAATCCGTACAGTTGTATTTATATTCACTAGGTTAGGTATCGATAAAAATAATAATACATAATTAAGTATCTAAAACAGACATGTAAGCGGTGTCTGTTATAGATATATCATTATGTATAATTGATTGATTGATGTATTTACGGAACTGTTGATTTTTCACTGCTTCGCGACCTTCCGCGACCCCCTTGTAGAGGCTCGGGGACCCCCCAAGGGTTTTTTTAATGGATGATAATGGAAAGTTCATTGTGGTAGAGCCACGCTGTAATCCTATATGGTATTGCAGCATGAATGGGCCGGCTCGACCGGGGAAGTACCACACCCTCACAGAATACCGACGCTAAGTGGTTGCACTTTTAGTGCGATCACATTCCGTATGGTGAGTGAGGGAGTCCGGAGGCCCATCCCATACCCATCCCATACCCATCCCTTTCCTATTCCTAAAATCCTTTCCCCAACCCCGTCCCCCCTATCTTACAACACGCAACCATGGCAGTGGAATTAAAAAAAAATAACATACCCCAGGGAGGTACCAGTAACCATGTTGCTGGAGAATCCTCTCTCGAGCAACCACGCTCGGGCTGCCCTGCGTATTCTGGGGGGGCAAAATTCCGCTCTTTGGAACCAAAGGCAAACGGAGCAAGATTTCTACGGCATCCCCTTCGCTCAATGTGAGCTTCTGCAATATCAGGGGATTACATTCTAACTTAAACGCTGTTCACCACCACCTAGAAACGGCGCGGCCGGCATTGCTCTTTCTAACGGAGACACAGATATCCTCTCCAAACGAAACTTCATACCTGACGTACCCGGGATATAAACTTGAACATTGTTTTGTTTCGCGTGCCGGTGTATGCGCGTATGTCAGAGAGGATATCTGCTGTCGCCGCCTTGGAATTCTTGAAGGTATGGACCTGTCTATTTTATGGCTGCGCGTAGA